TGAGGAAGTACTGAATCATAGAATTGTAAGGGGCAGGGCGAGGCTTGTAGTTAGGCATCGACTCCATCTCTTCAAACATCTCCTCGGCAAAACGTTCATCACTGACACGGCAGAGAGCGTTCACGATGGTTCCGTAAGTGACGCTGGTCGGGCGGACTCCATTGGCGCGCATCTCGGCGAAGTACAGCAGGCAGTCATCAATCCGACGAGCCTTGCCGAGCTTTCCGATGAGAGCGTTGTACAGAAAAGATGTGGGCTCAACTCCCTCCGCAACGGCACGATGGAAGATCTTCAGAGCCTCGGTCGCTTCGTCGAAAGTCTTAGTCGATTCCTTCAGGGTCGTGATGTAGAGACCGAACGTGTTGGCCGAAGGTGCAGAGCCAAGCTCCAGCAGCTCTTGGTGGAACTTGGAAGCCTGGCTGCGGTCGCCCAGGCTCAGGCACGAGGCCACCATCGCGTCCAAGATCGAAACCCAACCGTACTTGACGGCATTGTACTGGGGAAGCAGAGGCACATCACGGCGAGCCATGCTCAAAACCTCATGGACCAGATCAACGCGGTTGATCTTCGTCGCAGAGTTAATCAGCTTGGCGTACGTGATGTAACGAGGGTGACGCCCGCTGCGGCGCATGGTACGGAGACGGGACAGCGCCTCGTTCAGGTGAGACTCCAGCTGGCCAGTGGTGCTTTCCAGTTCATCAGCAATGATCGAGGATCCGCGGAAATCGGTGGCGTATGCATAGGGGTCGAATGAGTCCTCGCTGGACACAGGAGTCATGGAGGATAAATCGGATCCGGGAGAGTGACGACCGCTGACGAAGGACGAAGGGCTAGAGGTCATGGCAAGATGATCGTGCCATCTCTTAACCATGTCCGGACGGCTGTTGAACAGCTTACCCACGGCTTGGTCGACCATCTGGGTGGTGGTACCATCCATCGGCAGGCCAGTGGCCAGGGCGAGGTCGAGCATGTGGGCGAAGCGAATGGGATGAGCGACGTCGAACATAGCGCTGTTGCTGAGGAGCATACCAGCCTGCACCTGGAGAGCCAGCATAAGGTCGCGGGCATTCAACTGAGAGATACCGATCGGACCCAAGCTTGCCACTACATGCTCAGCGACCGGGGAAATGAGGCCGCCATTCTCGACCATTGACCACATGAGAGACATGGCAGCTTGAGAGGAGAGAACAGCCGCAGTTTGAACAAGAACGCGACCGACAAGGTGAAGACTTTCGTTGATCTGTTCGCGAATATGATTGAGGGTCAGTTCAGTCGAGGTACTGCGAATCCGAGCAAACATATTGCGAGCTTCGACCAAAGCCTCCTCGATCTGACCACTCTTCACGAGGGCGACTGCATACATAGCGGTCGGCTGGACCAAGTCCGGGGTTGCCTGACCGGCAGTGTTCAGGGCGTGCCACAGGGTCCGGGCGGCCGACACATTGCCTTGACGTACATGGAGGGCCAGCATCGAGACAGCGGGCCTCTGGCGGACACTCATGTCGGTGGGGAGAGCATCGTATGCTTCGGAAGCTGTCTGCAGATTACCCGCATCGGCCGCGGCGATGCAGATCTGGGACATGGCATGATCCAGCGCGCTATCGTGCAATCGGGTCTTGGCTTGCTCCAATGCCCGACCGTGCTCCCCCGATTTGAGGGCATGACGCACCAATCCGTCCTCAACAATTACCGATTCGACAGCGTCCTGGCGGGCCTCACGGTTTTCTGTCACATTGTTGAACGATTCTTGGATCCGCTCCAGGAACCGAAGAGCTTGCTCTTCCTTTCCGCAGGACAGGTACGCACGGACCAGGGCGGCGTAGACCTGCCCATCCAAGCGCTGAACAATACTAAAGGTGCCGTTGTCGTCCGAAACAGCCAGAGCCTTGTACTCGTTATAGCACTCGACAGCGCTCTGCAGGTCTCCCGTCGAAGCAAAAGCATCAATCATGGCCGGGAAAATCGAGGCATGTGGGGTGACCTTGTGCGTTTCCATGTGTGCGTACACGCGTACCATGTCTTCAACCAGACATTCCTTGGCGCACGCCGTGATCAGGTAGCGGTAGGTGTCGAGAGCGAAAACGAACTCCGGGTGACGGGTAGTGGCAGTGCGGAAGAGCTTCATGGCAATGGCAAGAGAGTGGTCCTCGGCCAGAAGAGCCTGCTCCAACTCACTGGAGTGGAGCATGAACTTGCCAGGCTCCTCCATACCACCGTACCGGGCACGGTCCTGCTCCAAGAGTTCCTTGGACTTGATGGCATCATGGGCGCGTACGACGAAAAGTTGTACCAGAGTCTGGTAGGTCTGCTCATCGGGAATTACCCTACGACGAAGCATGTCCGAGTAGATGTCCAGAGCCTTCTGGATCGCCTGTGCAGTGTCCCCGTGGAGCTGGATCGCCGACTCCAACAGGGCATTGTAGGCCCCGACGGTCGGCGTCAGTCCATCCCGAAGGATAGCGGCGAAGGCACCCGGAATATCTGTATATTTCTTGCCAATGGCTAGTTCGATGATGTGTTCGGAGGCAATGCGAGACTGCTCGACGTTCGCATCCTCCACAGCAGCAACATCGGCGGGTAAATCGGGAAACGCTTCAGTGTCGGAATTGTCCTTGGTCTCGGAAGCCTCCTCGGCCTGAGCTTGTTCTTCTTGGATCTGGATCTCGCGGGCAACAGCTTCTTCGACCTGAGCACTGACGTCGTCATTGGCGGAGGCTTTGGTGATGTGAGGGGAATCGTGGAATTGGGAATCGGAGGATGGAAGGCTGGCTTCGTTGTTCGTCTTTCCTTCTTCTTCGTTCAACGTAGGCTTCCAACCGATTCTCCTCCGCATCTGCAGCTGCTTCCAGTCACTGTCATCTCCGGTTTGCTGAGCATGTTGCCATGCAGCGTAGTAGGCCGCTAAGCCCAGATCCCCAGAGCCGGACGTTCCCTGGCTGGCCTTGGCGCCTGCACCGGAGCTAGAGGGCTGGAAAACATTCTGCAATTGAGTTGTCCTCGTGAATTTGGCGGCGGGCTGACTGGAAAGGGTGTTTAGGGTAGTCGACGACGCGTACGAGGACTGCGAGGCCGCGACTACCGACTGAGCATAGCCATGCGTGAAGGCTTTGGTGAAACTCTGGCGCGCGAGGTGGGTGAACGGCTTGAAGACCATTTATCTTGCGGGAGACCTCTTCAGAAGGAAGAGGCAATGCTGGAATTGAAGTCAGCAGTGTTCTGTGTTGATTGTTTTTTTCCCCCCCAAAACTTTTTCTTTATCGTGATTGATGCACAACGATTCGCCTCCCACTCTCCGCCTCCCAATCGGGTAGGTCGTACCTTGCAATCAAAATAATAATAACTATGCAGGTTCATTTGACGACTGCTGGTCGCCAAAAGAACGCGCGGGAAAAGAAAGAAGGGGATGATCGCGTAAGGGAAGAATGAACAGTGGCTTGAAGCCTCAGTGTGGATGAAGAGCAAACAGAAAAGTACGAGGCCACACTGGGAGAGGGAATTGATCGGTATTTCAGAGCCCGGAGAGGGAAACTGATCGGTATCGCCGGGGTTACTCAATCTGGCTTAGCGCAGATCTGGCACTGCCACTTGGCCTGTTTTGGCATAGGTACTTTTGTCACTGCCGTGCTGACCAATGCAATGCAAGCTTTGATTGGTTTTCTTCCATAGAATTTCGATAGGTCTGAGAATGAGTTCCAAGGGAGGATTTCAGCGATAAACGGAGCCCTGGGATTTCTTGTTCCATTCATGGGTGGATTGGTCTAGTCTACAGAACGCGTTTGATATATGCATGTACGGTCTCTGCACTTCGTACTGCGGGATTTAAGTAGCGCAGGCGTCAACCTGCAGCGCGCAGTTGCTGATCTGATAGAACAGGACAGCTGGTTTGAGCAACGAACTAATGGTTGTGCGCGAATTAAAAAAAATTCTTGTGTAGCAAAACATAGCAAAGGAACATCCCCACTGTACTATGTACGTCAGGTTTCGAGAATGGTCGTTGCCTGAGGCGATATAGGGGAGCATAGGGAAGGATTCCGCGTGTCAGGTGGCCTCATTGACTTTCTCAGTTCTCGCTGCGGCCCCGGATTGCAACTCTGACCCAATCGGGTGGATCAGAAGCAGAGCTGGACCCCTGGCCGTGAATCCGTGACTCACGATTCTTCCGGCTCTTTTTCTTCGCAGGGGCCGCAATGTTCCCCCCCCGGAGTTTGCAGGCTGGCCTCCGAATGGTTGTAGTTGTACTGTACGTACGGGGGCGCGGATTCCCGGCTGGCCGAAGCACCGAACATCGCTGGAATCCGCTTGACCACGGATACAGAAGGCTTTCGATCGTTATATCCGTTCCAAATCTCCGTCTGTCCGTTCCGTGGACTACTGGCCGTCTCGGTGACGGTTGACACTCTGCCCGATACGTAAATGCTCTTTGAGTTTATTTTTTTTTTCTTTTTCTTTCGAGAACACCCCTGGGTCGTGGGTGTCCTTGGAACCTCGAAGTCAATGTAAAGAGGATGGATGGAAGCCCACGGACACAGTAAGATTCACATGGTGAGGCTGCTGCCGTTATTGCTGCGCCTGCCACGTAACTAGTTGTACGGAGTCTTCCCAGCTGAGATAGTGGTTCGTGGTTGCTCATCAGCCAAGTAGCTTCGATGCTCTGCTCTGCTTGTACCATGTGGCGTAGAAGCATGCATGTTGATTGATTTGATATACATGACTCCGTACCTGTACCTGGTGAGCCTGCGTAGAGCGTGGAAGGATGAGATGAATTGAAGGGGAGATGACAGGACGCCGCAAACTGACACCAGAAATGGCAGGCATCAACACCAGCCACAGAGCCAGCCACAATCTACCACGGGTTTCCCAGCTGGAAGATCCGCCCAGCAACAGTTGATCCCAGATTCAACAATGGAGAGACAAGGATCATGACGTTGAGAATCATGATGTGATGATCCTTGAAGTCTTACTGACATGGAGTAAATACCTCTCACTCTCATTCCAGCTCCAAGCATTGTCACTCACACCCGGGCGAACTTGCAGATAGCAACATGGCTGCACATTGAACGCCTCATCAATCTAGTTGACTGACTACCGGGGCGGGGCTTGTCAACCAAGATCGTCTCTCCCTTAAACGGGTCCAGTGCAAAGAAGCTGATTGCTTTGCTTTTTCACCACTCTATCTTCACCATTAGTCGATCCCTCCTCTCTTATCAGTGATAAGTCAGTTTGCAAATGGTATGTAAAAAGTTCGATCTACCCCACTCACTATTCGTATAGCTTCAGTCCGTCTCCCCCATTACTGCCTAGGGCGAACTGGTTCCATTGTTGACACTGCTCCCTTTCCATAGTATTCTTGAACCTGCCCCACGATCTATGACCTACCTTCCCACGATTTAGCACACCTACACGACCACAAGCGTCTTCATGTCTTACATCCCTCCGACCGTCACGGCGGTGTCCGCCCCGGGCAAAGTGCTCCTGACCGGCGGCTACCTCGTCCTCGACCGCAACTACACAGGCACCGTCTTCGCCCTCGACGCTCGCATCCATGTCATTGTCCAGCAGCTGAAAAAATATCACCGGAAGAGCTCATCCTCGGGATCAGGACAAGCGGAGAGCACACCAGATAGCAAGGAGAGCGAAGACATTGTCGTGGTTCGGTCCCCACAATTCGTCGACGCAGTCTGGGAATATGGTGCACAACGGTGCGAGAATGGCGGTGGGATCAAAGTGATACAGAAGGGCCAGGGGTAAAACTCTCTCCCATGGGAACCCTCACACTCAGGAGCCTCAAGCTAATCCCTGCCTCCATGAACAAGACGGCCCAACCCCTTCGTCGAGACCTCCCTCAACTACGCCCTGACCTACATCAGCTATGTCGCCGGATCGAAAGACTTCGGCTCCCTCTCCATCACCATCCTCGCCGACAACGACTACTACTCGGAGACGGCCTTCTCCAAGATCTCCGGGCTCCAGTCCCCCGGCCGCTTCGTCAACTTCGGCGTCCCCCTCCACGAGGCACACAAGACGGGACTGGGATCCTCCGCCGCGCTGGTCACCGCGCTGGTCTCCGCCCTCGTCATCCACCGCACGCTGCAGCCCGACGACCTGGGCCCCGCGCGCGACAAGCTCCACAACCTGGCCCAGGCGGCCCACTGCGCCGCCCAGGGCAAGGTCGGCTCGGGCTTCGACGTCGCCGCCGCCATCTACGGCTCCTGCCTGTACCGCCGCTTCTCGCCGTCGATCCTCGAATCCGTCGGCGACGCCGCCACCCCTGGCTTCGAGGAGCGCCTCTTCGCCATCGTCGAGGACGTCGACCCGGCCCACCGCTGGGACACGGAGTGCCTGGACTTCGGCATGAAGCTGCCGCACGGCATGCAGATGGTCCTCTGCGACGTCGAATGCGGCTCGAATTCCCCCTCCATGGTCAAGAAGGTGCTGGAGTGGCGCAAGCAGAACCCCCAGGAGGCCGACCTGCTCTGGACCGCCCTGCAAACCAACAACGAGCACCTCTGCCACGAGCTCAAGACCCTCTCCCAGAACGCCGCCGCCGCCGCCGCCGCTGCCGCCAGCGGCAACCAGGACAACAGCGGTAGCAGTGGCTACACGCTGGCCGATTTCGGCGAGGTGCGCAACCTCATCCAGCGCTCCCGCGGCCACATCCGCAGCATGACGGCCAAGTCGGGCGTGCCGATCGAGCCCAAGGTCCAGACCGAGCTGCTCGACGCCATCTCCGACCTCGACGGCGTCGTCGGGGGTGTCGTCCCCGGCGCCGGGGGGTATGATGCCCTGGCCGTGCTGATCCAGGATTCGCCCGAGGTCATCAAGCGGCTGGAGGATTCCTTCGCCTCGTGGGAGAGTAAGGTGGAAGATGACTTTGGCGGGAAGATCGGTACCGTCCGGCTTCTTGGCGTACGGCATGGGTCGGCCGGAGTGCAGAATGAGGGCTTGGACCAGTATTCTGGGTGGGTTTGAGGATGGTCATCACGGGGAGCGAGTGACACATCGCCACCGGCCTCGTAGAGCGTCCAGATAAAAGGACGAAGCACGGAGCACGAAGAAACACCATCGTACCATGACCGGCGCGCATGGTCCACCACATGGATATCAGACATTACCTAATTCTCAAAGCGCCAACTGGGCGTTGCAGTTATTTTACATGAATCTTAATCTCAATCTCCACGAAGATTGAGGGTTGTGTAGGATCCTCTCTTCTCTTGCTTTCAGAACGCGACAGCTCGTTCCCGCCCCAGCCTGAGGAGCAACACCCCTTCCATTTGGGGGCCTTGCCACCCGCTCCCATGCAAATCAACGTATAGTACCAGCCCATACGCCGGCACACTTTCCCCTTCCTCCCCTAACCCTACATCGAATGTTCGAGTATCCGAACCGCCCCCTAGAACCCAAGATCCCCCAGCTCTCCCAACCCAGACGCATAGAACAAACTCGTGATATCAAGATCAAGGTCCTACCCAGCCCCACAATTAGCTCTAGCTTCACAAACCCAGCCTCGCCCTCCACCCCCTCCCTTCTCTCTCACCAAGCAAGCAAGAACCAAACAACTTACAGCATTGAACTCCAACCCCGCCAACCCCGACGGACTGCCCGAGCTCGACCCCACCGTCGCCCCCGTCATCATACCCGCAACATCCCCGTCACCGTGCAACGTCGCCGCAAAGCTCTGCAGCGCCGCATAGCACTCCTTCAAGCTGAGGACCAGCGACGCGCCGACGGCGTCCTCGACGGACTCGCCCGTCTCCATGGCGCGGATCTGCGCCAACATCGCCGAGAGGACGATGCATCGTTTGAGGCTCGGGGTGCCGAGGCGGATGATCTGGAAGATCTGGTCGCGGATGTGCTCGAGGATTTTGATCAGGGGGGCCCGGGTCGTGCGGGCGAGCTCGGCTAAGGGGTTTGTTGCCATTGCTGTTGCTGTGGAGGCGGGCGGTAGCGGAGGGGATTCGTCGAGTTGGGTGATCACTTCTAGTCCGAGGATGGAGAAGAGTTCCAGACTTAAGGGGCCGCGGAACGAGCCGCGGCCGGCGATGAGGAGACGGGAGAAGGCGTCGAGGTCGGTGGTGGTGGGGAGAGTGAGGGTGCTGGCGTAGGATGCAATGATCATGGCGGATTCGAGGCAAACTTTGCGGGAGAAATGATACTGGGGGTTGGTGGGTGCTTCGCGCATGAATGGGAGGTGGAGGAGGAGGATGTATCGGCGGAGGATCATGTCGAGGAATTTGTGGTGGAAGGGCGCTGGGTGGAGGTCGCTGTTTGTGTGCTGGGATTGGTGTTGATGCTGAGGGGTGGTGGGAGACGGGGTATGGGAGGAGAAGAAAATGGTTAGGGTTTGGCAGACATCGCGGAGCTTGGTACCCAGTTGAATGGCTTTAGTGTAAGTGAGTTTCGAACGGTCATGGATGAGGTTAACGGCTTCAGCGCGGAGGGAGAAGGATTCATGAAGAAGCAATTGGATGGAGGAGTCTGTTAGTTCGGACATGGGTCGGGCGGTGGTCGCTTGTTTCATATCAGGGTCAAGGTCTTTATCGTTAAGGTTGCAAGGGGGTCTGCTGTCAGATGAAGCGGGAATGATCAGTGGTACAGCAGTGTCCAGGGAGCATTGAATTGTGAGCTCTAGGACGGTTGTCCATAGACGTGCACGCATTTGGGCCATATAGGGCGACAGGCTGGGGAATCTGGCAGAGTCCAGATGCAGGCCCATGGCCGTGGCCGCCTGCAGAAGAGACCCTGGTGACAGCCAGATAGACGGCCCCAGGTCTCCCATCTGACGGGCGAGAAGAAGCAGACAAACGGCCTGAATACCCTCTAGACTCGAGGTCAATCGTTCCGTTGGTCCAGTGAGCCACCACTGAGCTGCGTATATCCAGGACTGGACCAACTGCGAGTCATGTTCAGTGCCTGCTTTACTTCGCCGTGGATGGAAGGTAGTGCCTATAGCGAGTACCAAGGTCAATTTGACAAGGAAAGGCGTAACCTTGGCGGGAGGTCCCTCCCAAAATCGTTGATACTCCGTTTGAAAACTTGGCAAATGGAGGATTCGATACACAGGCTCGAAAGTGTCCATGTAACAACGCACCATTTCGTCGCACACATCTCGTGTGGGTATGGAAGTGCGCAGGTCGGACACAGGGTCATTCGATTTCAGAGACTGTTTCTTTTTGACTGACTTGCGAAGGTCCCGGCACTCCTTGATGAGCGTCGCCAGTTCAGCTTTACGCTCCGGATATGCCGACTGCGGGTCCTTGCCTGCGAGGGAACCGAGCATCTGAAGCTGCCAGCTGATGAGTTACTTCTCTCTTCACGGGGTCCGGTTTATCCCCTACCTTTTCTAATGTATAGACATGATGAGTCGGACCAAACAGCTTCATCTTTCTCACTTTCGCATCCAGCCGCAGAGGTGTCGAAGGCATAATTGGCGCCTGCTCCTGCCTTCCATGTCCTTCTCTATCTGGCTCCATTCCCGGGGTTGGATGCGTGGATTGCGACGACAGCCATTCCTCCAATGCCTGCACCTTGCAGCACAGATCTCGCAGGGTTCGCTCCAGAGATTGATCCGACCCAGTAGCTGAGTCCGCCAGCTGCGCCTCTAGGCGTTGCAGCCGGTCCTGCAGCTGACGAACTGAACCATGTTGCGAAGAAGCCGCCGGTTCCTGGGTACTAACCATTCCATGTACTGTATCCCTCAGTTCCGGGTGATACACTGATGACATAGTCGCATTAGCTGCCAGAGTTGGGGGCTGCGTCTCGAGAACGGGATGATTCGCTGGACTCATAGTCGAAGTACTCTGTTGCGTCGCATGCAGGGGCGCCTGCTCAATCGCGACTGGACTCAGAGAACGGTGATTCTCCCGATATGAACAGTCCACTGAGGATCGCGAGCGCCTACAGGGACCACAAGGGACATTGCGATCGCATCGGACTTTGCGCTGGCGACACTGCTCGCATGACTTGGCCGGCCGACGGCGTTTGCGAGGTTCGGAATCGGCCGTGCTGGCTTCGGGCGCTGGCCGATTCATGTTGGTGGGGGTCTAAGGATCTGGAGCTCCTGCCATGGTCTGACGAAGTATGGATCTGCCGCTTTTCTGGGAAGAGCAAAATGATTGAATCACATGGAATGGGCGATGTCGGGATGTCCGGGGGGTTCGTAGTTCCTTAGTCTAGATCGCCGTTCGGGTTCGGTCCCGCTCACTGGCAGCACGTGTCGTGTCCGTGTCCGTATCCCGGTCTCGGCCTACGCGGTCGAATTCGGCCAGTGCTTCATAGCACTTCTCCTGTGTTGAGATAGTCATTGTAAAATGCTTGCCATCTAGAGGGCCGAGTTACACCAAGTGCTTTTCCCAGGATAATCTTCTCCTCCGAGTTCATCAGATCAATGCTTGTCTGGTCAACTAAACCGCGATGACTCTACTTCTTCCTTACCTTCAATCTGAGCTGGCATATGCACATATGCAGCCTGTATGCACCGTACCGAGGCTGGTTCTCTCACTCCTTCCAGGAAAACAACAACAGCAGCAGCAGCAGCAACAGCACCGAACCAAGAGCCAAGACCCCATCCAAGAAGGCTTAATGCGACGACCGGACCCAAGAAACCACTATCGCTCACAAAAGTTTGAACTCAACCCTTTTTTTAGGCAAGCCTACCACAGCATTCCACACGAATCTTTCCATTCCAAAGCACACCAACTCCCGAGTCTAAGTGCGCTGGACCGTCCGAAATCAAGATGCATCCGTCCGAAAGAGTGGCAGAACTGACGTAGGTGGGCTGCTGCTATTTGCATGGTAGATTACATGGGTGATCATACTCCGTGTAGAGTTGTAATGAAAGGATTACTCCCAAATACAACTGCAGGCTTCTTTCTCTATGCGTATGATGTTTATAAGTACAAGTCGGACTTGATTCGGTCCTGGACATTTAAACTTTCCGCGGGAGCATGCTGGCATGCTTGGAACCAGAGATAAGCTTGGAAGTGGTGAAGCATAAACCAACCGGTCGGGTGCCGCATGCAGTGCACTGGGATCTTGCGAGATCTTGGTGTACGGTGTGTGGACTCGGTACTCTTTCCAACTCGGGTTTTCAAGGAGTGGGTGTCATTACTCATTTTGAAGGGGAGAGGAATCATGAACGAATCTGAGCAGAGAAAGTCTCAATGAAAATGAAATCTAGTGGCTGCTCTATCGAAGCAAAACAAAACACAAATGTTATATACATGACCACATCCATAACCTGTATGTATCCCTGGACAAGACAGGCGAGTCGATGACTGCTGCTTGAAATCCACATCCCACCTCGTAGCAGTGAAATCTTGTCCAGAAAAGAGATTTTTTTGCTTTCGCTTTCGCTTTAGCTTTTTCCTAGCTCCCATGCATCGACGAAGGATGCGCCCAATACATCACGCACGCACGCACGCACGCACGCATGTATCCTGCACCAGGCAAGGACACGTAGGCAAGGTTGGCCAGCAACTGGGCTCGGCAGCAATTCGACCAAAAATAGAGAACAAGAGAAAACAATCAACAAAAGAGGTATATAAATCATGTTGCGAGGCATATCATCATAAATGAAAAAAAAACTCCCATGCGCTGCCTTTTTTACCCTTACAGCTGCGTGGGCTGGAACTGGGAAAACTCTTCGGACTGGGGAGGGTTCTTCTCGGCGATACGCTCCTCAGCCTTCTCCTCGTCACCACCGAGGATGCCATATTCGGCCGCCTTGGCTTCGATTTCATCATCGGTGAGCTTGGGCAGCTCCTTGGCCGCGCGGACATAGCTCATCTTCTCGACATAGCCCTTGGCGAAGATCAAATCGATCTCTTCCAGACTGCGGTTGGCGGTTTCGGGATAGAAGAACCAAATGACCGGGATGAAGAGCGCATTCCATGCGGCGAAGAAGAGATACGTGCCCCAACCGATACTGCTGACCATCACAGGTGTAATCATAACCACGGTGAAGTTGAAAAGCCAGTTGCTGCAGGTCGACACGGCATTGGCTTTGGACCGGGTCTTGAGAGGGGAGATTTCGGCAGGGTAGAGCCACGGGAGAGGCAACCAGGTGGCACCGAAGAAGCACATGTATAGGAAGAACCCGAAGATAGCTCCCTTAGCACTCTCAGCATCGCCCGGGATCAAGCAGGCAAAGACGATAATCATCGCAGCACATTGACCGTAGCTGCCGGCAAGGAACAGCTTGCGACGACCGATCTTTTCAATGAAGAACCACGAGAATGTGGCGAAGATGGCGTAACAGATCATGTTGATACCGCCAATCAGAAGCGCGAAATTGTGCGACTGGTGGATAGAATCCTCAAGAAGCACGGGCAAGTAGTAGATGACCGCGTTGCAGCCAGAAATCTGCTGAAAGAACTGAGATGACGAACCGACCAACATGCGGCGGAAATGCTGAGAGGGACCCCCGGTAAGCAAGTCGCTGAACTTGGCGTGGGAGTTTCCGGAACTGGGGTTTAAGGTCAGTTGACAAGGAATCTGCATACCGACATCGAGGTAACTTACGCTCGAACAGAGTCCAGGGTGAGATTCTTCTCCAGCTGGATGTGGGGGTGGTCGATTTCCTCGCCTGCGAGGGCAGCAAGGACTCGAGTACCTTCCTCAACCTTGCCGTGGGCGATCAAGTAACGAGGGGATTCGGGGAGTTTCCACATGCCGAAAATGATGATGAGTCCGAAGAAGACTTGGAAGGCAATGGGAAAGCGCCAGACCAGGTCTTGGGGACCGTAGTGGGCTCCATAGTCGATCCAGTAGGCGATCATGGTTCCAATGGCAATAATGCCTCCTTCAATGCAGATAAGAAGACCACGGTTGCTAGTCTTGGAGCACTCGGCTTGATACGTTGGGATAGTCGACGTGTTCATACCGTTGCCGATACCAGTGACCACACGGCCGAAGATGAACTGCAGCAGTGGGATCGAATTGGGCATGGCAGTGACTTGAATGATTACACCGATGATCATCACGGTCGCACCCCACATGACCATGAGGCGACGCCCCAACTTTTCACCACAAATCAAGGCGAAGATGGCACCAAAAAGACAGCCTGTGTCCTGCGGGTTAGCTCACTAGTCGCTGACCTGGCTTCCAGCTCAAGTCACTCACCGACTTCATAGACTGCAGTCACGGTTGCTTGCATGACCGAGTCACCCTTGGTCGCAGTGAACATGTCGTTGAACGCCGGATCAGAAATGATACCTGACATGACACCCTCTGTGTAGATTGTAAGCTTCGAGGTTCACCAAAGGCCTTGGCGATTACATACGGTCATAACCAAAAAGCAAGAAGCCCATAGTCGCGATTGTCGATATCGCGAGGCCGAGTCGCCGGCCCGAAAAGCCGGCATATGTAGGAGGCGCCATGATGAGAATGAATGTTACGATGCCAGAATGATAGAAGCGTATATGAGGAACCCAGGGGAGAGATGGGTTATAGAGATGGTTGGAAGAGGAGGGAGAGGGGGGGAAAGCCGAGTAAAAAGATGAAGAGAGAATAGAAGGAGAGACAGAGAAAGATTAAAGATTAGAAAGAATATGCCAGCAGTGCGAGAGGACTACGTGAACTTAAGAATCTGCGTACTGCATGCGGCAACGAGCGGTGGAGCGCTCGCTACCTTTCACGCTTGATCCAAAGAAGGTTACCCATGGGGAAAAGATTGGAGCCTTGGAGGTGGCCCTCCACCCCCACGTCCTATACCATGACCCTTACCGTCCCATGGGCATTCCTTTTCGAATTGTTTTTCCGATTGTTCAACCCCAGCTGACATCACCGGGGGCCTCGCTACGACGGGCAGGCAGTGGGACAACACTGAGAACAGCAAGAGGGCGCCGCTTACCGAAGCAGCGTAGGGTCCGTTCGGCAACGGAGTTCGGGATGAAGTATGCGGTGGTTTCGGACGGAGGAGGGTAGAGGAGGGATGGGTTATGATGTGAGAATGATGCATTCCAGGTGGAAAGATCGTCAACGGACAGCAAATGATGTAACTTCACAGCGGCCGATAAGCGGGACGACCCACTGGATATTATCCGGAAATGTAAGGTACCCACTCTTTTGGTGGCGGCAGGGCCTGTAAAAGTGCAGATGCTGCAAGCCTGCAAGAATCTTGCTGGATCTTCTTGAAGATTTTTCGGCTTCTCATCCAGAGAAAGCCAAGTTTGAGGGACCCTGTCACGATCTAAAGATGGTTGAGTATCCACTTCTCCTTTACGGGCTCCACTTCCCATACGCCCACGGGCCTTCATGCCCAGGTGCTGTGATGCAGGCCACGGCCACGAGTAAGCTTCAACACGACTGGAGACTTCTTGCAGCAGTCCAACCAGGAGTCATTCCGAAACTTTCCCGATCGAACTATTGGCTGCAACCCAACCGTCTTAGGAGTATGCCGGCAGCGCAGCATTGGCTTGCTGGGCGTAACAAGAGCGCAGTGCCAATGGGACGTGGGCAACTTTCTGCACAATGCGCTCATTGTTCGGGTTCAGTTTGTCGGGCTTGGCCATCAGGAAGGCAAACTATGAGAAGTGCCACCGGTTAGTCTGGGTGAAAATTCGTAGCCAACAAAAACCGCATCATCTTACCTCAAGCCAGTGGATGATTCGAACGTTTTTGTACCGAGTGTCAAAATGCATGCCTTGTGGCCTTGCTGGATCGGAATGGAGATGACAAACGGGAATTGGAAGTTGGAGACTGAGTTCGGTGTGTTCCGTGTCGCCATCATGCAGCGATCGGCTTCGTGCCTCGGCATCCCCGACCGTCTTGGCGGTGATATAATCTTCCTTCTCAATGTATGCCGGGTGCTCGTCCGTGTCGGCTCGTCTTAGCGCTGTCGTTGACACCGGTCCTGCCATGTTTTCGTAAACTAGACTTCGTTTGAAAGGGCCACTGCAGCAAGTTAGACCATCCCGCTGGTGGTACTGCACATCTTCCGAGACAAATATTCGCAGTCCACGGAACTTGGCGTGGCCCAGTTCTGTGTATGACACGGTGACAGGTATGAGATCCCCAAGAGGTACTCCTCGCTTCGAGACTAGAATCTCAGAGTGTAAGAGATGTTTCCAAGCGCGAGCGGTATAGATCGGTTCGGCATCATCCACAAAATCTTCTGCGGGACAATGAACGACGGTAATGGGTTTGCTGCAGGAGAAGGGGCGATTTAAGAGGCCCGTTCGTTCGATAGAGGCTCGGATCCGGTACCGGACCTCGCTCTGCCGGACTTGAATAGATTCAGGCAGATGGGAGCGCAGGACCATCTCGAATTTGTATGTGTGGGTCCCGGGTGTCAGTCGCTGATGTTTAGACCCTGTGTCCTGCTCTTCACGCCCGCTCGATCCCACTCTAGCCGAGATCGCATTCCATAATGTGGTCCCTTTGTGCGCCTGTCGGTATGACGATGTCTTCTGGATTGAGTCAAGGTAGCACGGAAGTACCGGGTCTGTCGCCTGGGGACCAAGCAGTATCAATGTGTTGTCGATTACCGTACGGCGTTCGCGGATGCCTGTCAAAGCAAGTTTGGTTTAGACAAATACTCAACTCTGAGAGATGTTTCTAGTTTCTAGAAACCAGGTATAGTTCTCACCGTGCGGCCACACGATATGGCTTGTACCGCGCAGGTTGACGGTCAGTCGTTTCACTGTCACAGCTTCATTCACCGTCACTCGGCATTCACCACGGAGAACTGCTGGTTTGTCTGATATGGTCGGGGCGAATAAGGCTGGCTCGGTGATGTTTAATTTCAGGCTCAAGCCACTGGCATCGCCTTGTATGGGGACTTCCTGAGTCGACTTGCGTGGTGTCGAAAATGGCGATCGAAGCATTTCCTTAGGAAAAGTAACCACTCGCAGGCAATTTGATTGCGATAGATGGTGTTGGTTGGCCAAGCAAGCAGTGTGCTAATTAATTGCGTTCCGTTATATGGCATTGTAGTGTGGCCATATGACCTCAACTTATATCAGCATGAAGATCAGTCCATTACATCAGAAAGGTCTGAGCAAGGGCGACACATACGGATATCAGGTTCTAGACTATTGCATGACAGGTCGAGAGCATTTGCTGTCTGCTTGATCATTGCAGCCGACTCCCGCCTGCATCGCCTCCGAAGGATCAACTATAACTTAATTCAGAGTACTCGCGGCTCGGATGCTCCAGATACGAAGTTCAGTCTTTGAGCCCTACAGCTAAACACCTCGTGTTTGTCGAGTCGGAAGGCTGGCCTCCAGCTCTGATGATCCTTGTGGACAACGATCGTCTTTGACGAAGATCCAGGCAAGAATGATGTCACATAGATTTGACCGGGGGAGCCCGTCACTGGATGGTTCATACAAGACCGAACAGCACCCATGGATTGCCTGACATATTCACAGAATTCAGGTGGGGTGTTGAGGTGTAGAACTCATGGATCTAGATTAAACCTCTCGTGTTCGTGTGAGAAGCCAAACCGTCCACGTGCGCAGTCACTTCGTGATGGTACGGGTCAGGAGATGGCGATAAGAGCGGTTCTCGCCTACGGCCATCGGTCTAGAGCGGAGAAAATAGGCGTGGCAAATATGGAAAGAGGGGACAGTACTTTTGGACGAAGATCATCAACTCAGCAAGCGAATAGAGCCCTGGAGGAACGAAAGAATTAGCGTCTATACTAGACACTAGTGTCACTGTCAACTTTCCTCAGGGAGGCAAAAAAAAAAAGAACATCGGTCTTGTTCTGCCTTGGTAAGTCAATTATCAGCAGTGGTAAAACCAAGGCTGCTTCCCGTATGTTCAGCGACAGTCGGAGAAGTATGATAAGGAGGTCAAACGAAATTGCATAGCAGTACATCGTGCCATTGCCATGGCGTGACTTCGGGAGTTTTGGCAGTCCAGATTAAAATCAAATCCGTTCTGCCGTTTCAGCTGTGATCTGAATTATCATGTGACTGATTCATTCCTCATGGCAATCAGGGTCCAGTCGAGGCCCGAAAGCAATGCTCTACGTACTCCAGACAATACTTGAAATTTAGGTGAGGTCGTCGTCGTAGGATATATATAGTAACGACAGGGCTAAGCAATGCCTCGCAGCGGGTCTTCCGACGTCGATTTCCCAGTCTGGTTCCTGGTATCAAGATCTGCACCACGTCCACGGTCTGTACCTGGGCGTCGCAGTGATCAAGGGACGTCTTTTGTATGCTTTCGGTTGTGCATTCAGTTGGTGATAATCGATTGACACTATGAGGGAGGCCCAGCGCGAGTTTGAGTCCGATACGAGCGTGACAGGTGTCAGTGTCGCTACTTGAGTAGATGCAGAATCTCTGACAGCACGTCAGCCACTTCAATCTTTTCGAACTGCGTACAGGCCGACTCAAATGGATCATGCCTGAGAAGAACAAGCAGAGAAGCATTGATTAAAGCCATCTGTGAATCTGGGCCACCGAAACATGCTGAAGTGACTAATTCGTAGGTGGACTAGACTAAACTCCGTATGAGGCCGGGCGCGCCCAACCGGATCGCCGCCCGCCTGGAACATCGACTCTAGGCTTTCTCCCCCCCCCTTTCCTTAATTTCTCTCTTCTTCCTGGCAGTCACGGGGGCGGTCTCTCCCTCTCCCTCCCTCCTCTCCCTCCCTCTCCTCACCGTCACTGACGAACCACTATCACCACCATCATCCACCCACCATCCGCTATCAATCTGTCTTGTGATTCTTTACTTCCACTCTATCTATTCGCAATCTTCTATAACTTTTAGTATATATTTTTAACCTACCGTCTTGTTTGAGTCCCTCAGGAGGCGTGCTTTAGAGTTTTGTCTGCCTCCTTTTGCCCGCTCTGTCATCGCCTCCCTTCGTCTACGCCAACTGCCCGCCTCCTCCTCAAACCCACCCCCCCCCGTCCCCTTTTCGCCTCCCTCGGGTCGCATGGCCCCCTTCATCTCTTTCAACCGGTCGATGTTCTAGTCACTTGTTCGCGCCGTCCTTGGATTTCTCCGCTTCTTATCTAGTCTAGCCCCCTTGGGCCCCCTCCCTTTCTTGTCGCTGTTCGGGTTGCGCGCTGTTGGGTTCGTCGTTGTCTTCCCTCTCCTTGAAACCTCCATAGGGTCTCCCGCCTTTCCCCTCCAATAACGACGTCCGTCGCACGCCCCGGATCTACCGGAGAAATAATCATCACCATCTTCGCTTCTGGTCTTTTTCCGCGCGCAATCTATCAAACCGACACGTCGCTTTGCTTTCATTAGCGTTATCTCGCATTTCAAGTTATACAATCGCTGTCATCATGTCCGACAGCACGGGCAACAAGGGCGACCCGGCGGTCACTACGTCGGTTCCTCCCATCGAACCCCTACAACCACTTGCTGTCCCCAGTTTGTCGTCAGAATCCACAGAGGCCTTGAATACTGCCCCACGCCTGGACAGTACGAGCGACGAGACTCAGGAACCGAGTCTGACAGATGGCAAATCAGCAAATGTCGCCGAAGCCCCCACAGCAACACAGGTCTCGCAGCAGAACTCCAGCGATGCCCCGTCTGCCAGCGCATCGGCTGGCCATGACGGCGAGCTGAAAGCTCCAGTAGCCGCTGGCGAGGCTTCACCTCAGAACGTAAAAGAAGAGGACGACTCGGGACCACATCTAGTCATCACTCTGTTGTTGATCACTGGCTCACGGCACCCATTCAAGATCGACGCCAAATACCTCAAGAAGCAGCAGGTCAATGTTGAAAACCTGGATCCTTTCGCCATGAGTGTATATACATTGAAGGAACTGATCTGGAGGGAGTGGCGACAAGGTATGGTAACCGCTCCTGCGCTTTAGAGTTGATGGCTGACAGTCTGGTCTCGCATAGAGTGGGAGTCACGGCCGTCTTCGCCTAGTTCGATTCGATTGATTTCGTTTGGAAAGCTCCTGGACGACAAGTCCCCGTTATCAGGTATAGTAGTCCCTACGAGGCTCAATCGTGTCTCCATACTGACTATCATAGACTGCCGATTCAACCGAGATGCTCCCAACGTGGTGCACATGACCGTCAAGCCACAAGAGATTGTGGACGAAGATGATGCCAAGGGAGCCAAGGCCCAATACACCCGTGAACGTGAATCCAGCGAGCGTAGCCCTGGATGTCGCTGCATCATTCAATGAACACGGGATTTCGATTTGGTGCCTCAATAGTCCCCATGTCGGGAAGACGACTACCATAAAGGGGATGATTTCCCTTGGGTTCTCTGACGTCCTCTCATTCTGTCATCTGCAAAGCCACGTATCTTATCCCTGCCCGTTGATCCTATTGCCTATGGCTATAAGCCTTTTCTGGGATTTTCCAAGGATAGTCCACCTGCTCCGGCATGCAAGGCGGCGCACCAGGTTGAACGCCTGCTTGTGCGCCGAAGGCGGCGTCCGGCTGGTTTAGCGTTCTGGGTCCAGCAGCAATGATTGCTCATGTCCTGAAAGTCATCTGTTCCGGTGTTATCGGTCGCTCACCAGCTTCTATTCCTATCGAGTCGCTTGATGCCACTCATACTTGTTATCTGCTTCACATATACCCCGATATTCCGTCCTCACCCCCCTTCACAATTGGCAGGCCGTTTGTTAGCATTTATTCTTGGTTGATGCAGCGTTCCACCTCCTGCTTATGTCCTTATCATTTGCCTCTGAACCAAGATCAGACCGCCCGTGGACTCGAGCGGGTGGTCGTTGCGGACCAGGACTTCGTGGCGGGGTTCCGTTCAGCGTACCGCTGTGGTACACGGCGCCGGTTTGTCTTGAAGCGTGTTCAGATGTCCACTATAGTGTCTTGCCGGGCGACCGCCCGGGAATCACATGATGTACAAACTACCACCACTGCACATATATAATGAACCATACTGTTGTTTCCCAAATTTAGCCTGATCATTGCCGCAGACCTATGGGTATATGGGTTGTTGCTAGTCTATTTTCTACTGTCTGAGAGGCTGCTGCCACCAACGCTGACTGCTCCACCGCCTCATTTAGAATCTGAAACACAATCCCATTCAGTAGAACCGTAAAAAAGAACATAGAAGCCTAAAAAAGAAATAACATAGCACGAATACCCTCAACCGGAATCCCGCTCACCCAGATCTATGCTCTAATCCATACGCAATCTCTTCTCCATCTCATCATGGAAAGTCGGGGGTTCACGGAACTCATCGCCTATAGGTTAAGAAAGTTAGCCACAACCACACCATTCCCAAGCCCCCGAGGAACTGCCCCTGCCCTTCCCTTCCCCCACCGCCCCACCACGACAGCAAAGAAATCAGAAAAGAAACCAAACAAGACCTACCCTTAAAGATATCCTCCCACCCAACCTCGGTATCCCGTCCGCCAAGCACCAAGATATCCTCGTGCACGTTCTGCGTACCACCCATGACGGCGGGGCGGAACGACCCATCCCGCACGATCTTCAGCTCCATGCCGCGGCGGATGGGCTCGGCGATGCCATACGCCCGCCGCAGCGACTCCATCTTCAGCGCCTCCTGAGTCGCCCGCCACGCCAGCAGGCGCGCCTCGAGCGGGTGGGCCGAGCTAGGCGTGGCCGTCTGCGCCGACGGCGGGCCCCGGGCCGCCGGCAGCGTCAGGTTATTCCGGAGCGTGTCAGGAAGCCCCGGGGCTGAGGGGGCGCCGTTCGAGGGGTGAGGGAGGGTGAGCGCTGCGGGCGTGCGGGTCGTCGTGTTGCTGGTTGAGGTTGGGTGGGCGGCCGGCGGGGCTATGCGGAGGGACTTCAAGGTGTTAATTAAGGAAGGAGGGGATGGGGTTGGAAGGGACAGGGGGAAGGGGGCTTGAGTTTGTGGGTTGAGGTGGTTGGGATAGGTGAGGATGAGATGAGGTTTGATGGCGGATAACGAGGGCAGTGATGGAGGTGAGGTCGGTCCCTTGGGGTTTGACGTGGACGTACCATTGTGGCGGTGGTGTGGTTGTGTTCTGTTCGGAGATGATCAATGATCGAGTAGCTGGTACAAGTCGTCAAGCGAAAGAAGAGGAGGAGATGGATGGGATAGAAAGGCGAGTAGATGGATGAGTTCAAGTCGGAGTGATTAGAAGGTCAGTAAGGTCAAGTACGGTAGGTAGCTCTGACATCGATAGTAGCAGCGAGCCAGCGTAGGCTCCCTCCCGACTGGCGCGTCCGCCCTGGCTGGGCAGGCAGTAAGCTCCTCCGGCCGGCCACACCGTCCCTACCCGCAGAAAACTTTCCCGTTGCGTGCCTTCTCCATCCCGACCCCAAGTCACGTGGCCCCATATTTCCCATCGAAGGAAATTCAATCCTCCAGCCTCAGGGTACAGGTCCCAGTGGGAACACCAACATCCACACCACCTCCACACGCAAAATGCCCGCCCTTATCTCCTCCCTCGCCCTGCGCACCCTCCGGACGCTCGTCCAGCGTCCCGCCACCACCACCACCACCCCCCTCCGTGCCTTCAACACAGCTGCTACTGCTGTTCCCCGATTCACCCCCATCCTCCGCACACCCACCGCTCTCGCAGCCCTCACGACCAGAACCTCCACCACCTCGACCTCGCAGATCGCCCTCCTCGCCGCGCGCCGCTCTTTTTCCACCTCTCCGCTCCGCCAAGCGACCTACAACCAAGTCCGCCGCGGGTGCCGCGTGGCGCAGAAGGCCCGGCGCTCGCGGTCGCCCGCCGTGACCGGCCGCGCGCAGATGAAGGGCGTCTGCCTGAAGACCGGTATCACGAAGCCCAAGAAGCCCAACTCCGGGGAGCGGAAGACGGCCCGTGTGCGGTTGAGCAGCGGGAAGGTGGTGACGGCATATATTCCCGGTGAAGGTGGGTTTTTAATCTCTCCTTTGTTTTGGATTTCCGGGGGCTTGAGATACCCTCTTGGTTCAATATGCTCCGGGAGACGAGCGGATTTGTATGGGTTATAAGGAGGGAGGGATTGTTGCAAGAGCATGACTGACACTTCTCCACGAAATAGGTCACAATATCCAGCAGCACAGTGTCGTCATGGTCAGAGGTGGCAGAGCCCCCGATTGTCCGGGTGTGAAGTACCACCTGGTTCGTGGTGCTATGGATCTGGTATGTGTCTTCTGATTTGATAGGAGTTGAAGGTTGTTCACTAATTGTGTCCGCAGGGTGGTGTCCCCAACCGCTTGACGGCCAGATCTAAGTATGGTACGAAGAAGCCCAAGACGGACTAAATGTCCGCAAAGACTGGGAGGCGCGTATATCGGGGAATTATGCCTGAGTCCAGCCGGATGATATGCGGATTACCTGACGGAGGGGCTCTATCCTATGTATTATTTTGGTTTCTTTTCTTTTCATCTTCATCTTCAAAGGCATTTGGTTCATCGTTAAAACAGCTATGTACATTTATGAGACAGTCTCTGGAAAAGATAACACTTTCCATCTTATCAGATATCCACTTGAAAATCGTGATGCTCGCCGCAAAATGACACGGGACGAAAAAAAAAAAAAAGAAGGAAAAATAACCACCGCCTCCATGATAATACATGTGAGACAGATAACACCGAGGCTCGAACTCTCCAAGACACGGCGGGGGGGAATATGAAAGTAGGTTAGAGGGGTGAAAGTTGCGAAATAATCATGTTTGGGCCAGTCGGAAGCGCCCCGATACTGCGCCGTAGAACGCGATGGGAACCGTAATTTGTTAGGCCTTCCTCCATGTCTGGTTGGAGTCCCAGCCAGCGTGTACGTGGTCAACCAGATGACCTGCTCTGTGGACCACTAGTACCCGGGCTTTTCTGTTCAGTAAGACTAAAATACCGCAGATGAAGATTGCCGAAAACAGAATTAATTCAATCGTACGGAGTCAGGTTTGAGCCTCGTAGCCCTTGGGCTTGTCCAGGTTGTTGATCTGGAAGTACCGAGATGTGCCTACAAGCAATGGTAAGTAACCCGACACCGACCCGGTGAGGTCAATCAAACTTACAAGAGTAGCCCTTCCAATCAAAGTTCTCGCTAGGGTTGCAGGAGCATCTCAGGTCCAGTCTCTTCTTCTCCTCGGTTGGACAGTGGGTGAATGGCACGTGATAGTAGCCAATCTCATCGAAGAAATGAATCTGGTCCTTGTCGAGAAGCAGACCGGCCGCGATGGAGTGGACCGGGGCATCACCCCACCGCTCGTAGAAGAACCCACCGGCATGGTCCAGGGTCTCAAAGTAATCAATGTACGCCTTCGATCTCAGCCATTCCAGGCTTCCGACTTCGAAGTTCGACCACTATGGACCGAGTTAGCCACGCCCTGGATGGATAGTAATTCCGATAGATATACATACAAAGTGGCATTTGTTGTAGGTCTTGCCGCCATCGTCACTCAAGAAACCCATGGAGTTGTCGCTCGCGATGTGTTCCGGGTGTTCGCCGACGAATTTCTGTGTGGTATCCCAGAGGGTCGGGATCGTGTCATAGTACTCGTAGAGACTGAGCGTGAAACTGTACTTCTTGTTGTTCTCCTTCATGAAACGGAACGGATCCAGCGGGACGTCACAGTAGAGCTCGATGCTGGGCTCCACACGCCAGTAGTATTCGAAGTTCAGCATCAGCGGGTGGCGGAAGAAGAAGCCCGATTCGTAACGGCACATGTGGCGGTAGCTTTCCGAGTCGCCGTAGATGATCTTCTTCTCGCCCATTTCCTGTCGCACCTTCTTCGCCTTCTCCTGGTCGATCCATTCGGGGTACGACCAATGCTCCTTGGGAATCACGCCATAATGGGTTTCTCCAGAGACGAGCGCCGAGGTGATCTTGATGAACTCATCGTCAAAGGGCTTGTCGTTCAGGAACACCCAATCGTAGTGATAGTTGCGGTTGAACCGGTCCTCCACCGTGCGGATCGACTTGACCATCTCCCAAAGGTCGCTGTTCCGGGCCAATGTCACGAAGGTTGCGTTCATGCGGTCGGCCGCGGGGATGACCTTGTTGGATGAGTATGCGGCGGCGGCATCGCTCTGGGAGTACGACGAGGACGAGGATGAGGAGGATCCATAGTTGAGTTTCGAGCCGATCTGCTCCGGGATCGGGATTGCACTTCTCGATATCAGGAAGAAAAGTGCCAGTCCCTAGGCGCATCGGGTCAGCCATGAAGGGAGATCGAGAGAAACTAAGAAGAACTGACTGTGACAGCAAACAGGAGATATCGAACTGGCCCTAAAGCCATGATCACCGATGTTTCTGTGCTTTCAACCTCAAGTCTGTTGATGTGGCTAAACTGGCGCAGAGCGGAGTGGAGTGGTAAATATGGAGGCCTGTCGCAAGGGGCCGCTTGGCCTGGAGAATTGAGGAATAAAGAGGAAAAAGCGAGCGACAGTATACAGTGAAGAGGGTGAAAAAAAGAACCGGAGACTTGGGAGCCCACGGTGATTTTTCAAGTATGAAGTGGACGAAGTGGAAGGAAGAGATGATCGGCGACAAGCACGGAGATGAACAGGGTGCGGTGGTGTAATTATTATGGGGCAACGGTCTCGATCTCTCACCAATGTTTGTATGAGTCTTTCCCGAACCGCGGGTTTGTTGCGACCGGATTGATCATAAACAAGGGGGAGGGGAAACAGAAGGAGGAGGGGCTGATAAGAAACAGAAAGGATCAAAGAAATAAAGGGAGCGAACGAAATTATAGTAATCTTAATTCAGGAGAGGAGAGGAGACTGTTTCTCGTCTACGGAGAGTAAAAGCGGACGAACAAGGTCAGCCCTGCGGCGGAGCATGAACTGAATCACTAACAATGAATGGATGAATGAATGGGAACTTCTCATGGTCAATGGGAGGCGACGTAACCTCACCGATGGTTATTGGCCAGGCCACGTACGTCGTTCGGGGGTTGGCCACCCACTCCGCAAGCCTGTTTCTGTTCTTTTTTGGACTATTATTACATAGTATTTCATCTTTGGTTAGTGAGTGAGTTATACAGAGTAGGTAAAGTAGAGTTGAACTTGGGGATTGTGCTCGAGTCTATCTTATTGACTGCCGCCGCAAGATCAAAGATACCAGTACTCATATTTCTCGATCTATCTATCCACTTATGTATAGAAACCAGAAACTAGAAACGTCCTTGTAACTTTTAGGAGATTGCCCCCAAAGCTTCGTATAAAGCCGTAGGGTTCGTGGTAGAAGTAGCTGTGGCTGTGTTGACAGACGTTACCACTCATTAGTTCACTGCCGCAAATTAGTGTCTCAGCCAGATTTCCTGGTTCTAGTACTCCGTATGCAGTATTCATCTCGTGTTGTTCTTGCTGGGCGGTGGCGTGGCTGAAAAGCACCTTTTATTTCTGCAGAACTTGACCGCCTCACTAACCCCTGCCTCAGGCTAACATAGCTAAGCCTAAACCCACCTAGGCGGGTGATATCAGGCCGGCTCTGAACCTCATCCCGCACCACAATTATGCCGTGGTAATTCCTCCTCCCCCTCTCTCCACGCCACCAGCCCCCTCCCCCCCCGTTCCCCATACAACCTGCCTCTGCCGAAGATGTCTTTCTTCGGCTTTGACACCACCCTGCCCAGGGACCGGGCTGCTCCTTCCGAGCGCCGGGGCATTTTCGAGACCCCTGATCCATTCGCCGAGGTCGCTCGCGCCCGTCTTGTTCAAGGATTCCGAGGCGGCGACGAGGATGACGATGCGTAAGGTCCCCCTCCTTTCAGAGCCCATTGGCTTACAAACAAGATGACTGACGGGTCTTCTACACGCGTATAGCATTGATTTCGAGGATACCTACGATGGCCTGGGCGATCAGCTCGACGACGATCAGGATGCCTTCAACGACGACACCTTCGGCGACGACCTCGGCGCTCCTCCTGTCGGAAAAGACTTCGATTTCTTTGGCAAGACCGCGCAGGTAGCCGATGCCATCGGGGAAGAGCAAATACGCTACAGTCTCCAGAAGCCCAGAGCACCTGCTGGCGCCCCTGTCGCTGCAGACATCATCGCCGATCCTGCTGTGAGTGCTGCGGCTGTGCAGCCGAAACGGACCGGTTATGAGAAGTACTCGGATCCCGGGTATATTCCGGATCTTCAGGCCAAGTCAAGCGTCTGGGGCGTGCAAAAGAAACCGGAACCCACGCCAATGATGATTGCACAGGCGCAGGCACAAGCTCAGGCACAAGCACAAGCCCAGGCTCAGGCTCAAGCGCAGGCTCAAGCGCAGGCTCAGGCGCAGGCTCAGGCTCAGGCGCAGGCTCAGGCGCAGGCACGGGCAAAGAAGATGCTCAGCTTGGAGGAGGTAGAGGCGCAGTTGCGGCGATACCCGTCGTCACTGCCTGGCCAGATACCGGTGTCTCTCCCTCAGTCGATGCCCGAGCCGTCCCACCCGCTTCAGCGAGCTCAGATGCCTCCTCTGCCCGAAGGCTTCGCACAGCTGCCACCCGAGCTTCTGCACGCTCAGTTTGCTAAGGGTGTTCCGCCTCCGGCGCAGCTGTTGCACCAGCCGCCGATGGTTCCTGAACCGTATCCGCTTGCTCCGCATGCCCCCAACATGCCAATGCACCTTCTGCAAAATGCCAATCTTCCCCCGCAGCACATGGGGCCGCCTCAACGTCAGATGATACCACCGGGAGGTCCTCAAGCCCAGCAACAACAGCCTCCGCCGCCGTCCCAAAGCATGCGGGCCAACAACGCCCAGCTACCCGTGATCACCAATCCTCAACAGTTGATGCATCTGTCGGAAGAGCAAAGAGTAGCATACCTGATGGAAGATGCCAAGCGCGCCAAGCGAAATCACAAGATCTTCCTCCTCTCCAAGGGCAACGGTCTGATGACTCCGCAAGACAAGAACTTCATTACCCGTATCCAGCTCCAGCAATTGGTGGCTGCCGCAGGTAATGTCGTGGACACGGATTCCGAGGCTGTCTTGGCCGAGGACTTCTACTATCAGGTCTACAGTCAGATCCGCGGCGCTCCTCGGCAACACCCTCATCAACCTCTCGGTCACTTTGCGCAGACGTATCTCCTCCAGACTGGTAACCGCCTAGGTGGACACGGCAACCGGAGACAGTTCCAGAATGCCGACAACCACATGCAGAGAATGCAACAGCAAGTCCAGCGGGCCGTGGAGGCTGCCAAGGCCAAGCCCAAGAACAAACAACTCATCATTGAAGGTAGCTTGGGCAAGATCTCTTTCGGCAATGCGAAGGCCCCGAAGCCCATGCTCAACCTCAAGCGGCCCGAGAGCTCCGAGGGTGGCAAGTCGCTCAAGAAGCCTCAGACTGACCTGAGTCTGAGCGACCGGAAGTCTATCCTGACCAACATCGAGGGTGTCTACAGCACGTTGATGGAAATGGAAGATATGGAGCGCACCATGCCTCCTCCGCCAGACGAGAATGATCCCGAGGCCATTCAGAAGCATCTGGAGTGGCGGCAAAATGTTCGCTCGCTCAACCAGAAATTGTGGCGCGAGCTCAAGGTTATGGAGCCTATTGTTCCCAACACTAACACGCCTCACCCGTTCATCGCTTTCCTCTCGTACCCCAAGGGCAAGAAGGCCATCCCCCGCATCTTCCGTCACATTGACCAGGAACAACGCGTCACAATCCTTACCATGATCGTTGTCCACCTGGACACTTTGGACGTGGTCCGACGCGCACAGCTTATGCCTGGTGAGACTCAGCCGTCTCCGGTTGTTCGCGAAGCCATCGACCTCTTCTCTCAGACTGTCATGCCCAGCCTCCTCGGCTACGTCAATGAGGCCCCGTTCAATATCATCATTGGATTGTTGGGACTTGTGATTGCGCAGACTCATGTTCAGCTGGTGGCCAAGACCAGGATCGGCCTGGGAATCCTTACCATGCTTTTGAGTCGCGCCGAAATCGTGAAGGAAGCCGACCAAGCTTCAGAGCGAGATTGGCAGCAGTGGGTTGAGAAATTTAACGTGCTATTTGATACTCTGGAACCCACATTTGCCGATATCTTCCCCAGTTCCATCAATGCCGGTGACGACATGTACGTTTGGCAATTCTTGGCTGCCGTCGGTATCGGCGCCAGCCCCGATCAACAACAGCGCCTGGTTATTGCCGTGAAGTAAGTTGAAGCTTTCCCCATGACTCACCGAATCGATGCTTACTCTCTCCACAGGGATCGTGTGATGGAAACTGTTACGTACAGCAAGACGCTTCCTGCAGACATGGCCAGCCAGCGTCTCGGAAACGTCAACTTGTTTATGCGGGCCATCGGTCTGGACGTTGAACTTTTGGGTTAGGAAGCCAGAGAGGACATAGTGATCCGGCCTGACCTAATTACTGGGTATCATGACTCTTTAGACCCAGTGCCGGTCAGGCCGGGCAGACTTGGGCCCATAGATGTGCGGGTTTGCCTCTAGAAACACTGCAGCCTGCCATAAGCGGCATGTCGTTGTTCGTGCTGAGAGGGTTGATCAATCCACTGCTTAGCAGAACTGCACCCGGGGTATATGAAACCCGAAGAACCAGAAAGAGAAGGGAAACGACTGGCAGGCAGGGTCGGTTGGTGCTCTCGGACGCAGAATTGGAGGGAGACAGGCCCAAACGAGCTGTCGACCAACCTTTGGCGGTGGTGAATGTGACGTGCATTCTTCAATGATGTATTACCTACCAAATTTACGCACGTATTTGATTAGTTTTGTTCAATGATGTCCTACAGCGAGATTGGGGGACATGTCCGAAAGTCGTGTGGATAGCTCTCCTTTCATATTCTAGTTGATTATTTTGTTATGCTTATGGATGGTTCACGATGGAAGAAAAAGACATGATGGGTACTGTACTCTTGATTACTACCACTGTACAGTCCACCCAGCCCCCCGGAGTCTAGTCCCAGGAGAGACTAGGCTAGACAAGCCGATATATTAGCAGAGGCGACCAAGCGTGCAGTGGTGCCATCGATAGTAGGAATTAGGCCAGACCACAGACAACATCATCTTCCTAGCTCCTAGCTGGCAGCAACCGACTTGCAAGGTTGCACCCTCCCTCACACGGGCCTCGGAGCTCGAGGAGCACAGATCCACTTTGCGCAGTGGAACCGCGACCCGCCCGTGCTAATTGGGGGTTCAGCCTGGAGAGGTCGGTTAAAGATGCATGGTTTGGGTGAGGTTGCGCGAGTCGATAGATTACTCTTCCAGGGTTGCTGGACCGTTGGTGTTTCCATGGATATGAAAGGATTGTTTAGTCTCCTGCATGTCTTTCCCTTTTTTCTTTTTTTACATTCATGTCATAAGCGAGTCGGACCGAGAATTACCTGCTGCTTGGCTTTCGGTCGGCTGCGGCTTATGCATCGGGCCTGCAGCTGCATGTGGCTGGGCTGGCTATGGCTATCAGTCCATCCCCGGTTCATTTATCATCTGGCGACTTGTGTCTCCTCACCGAGACCGAGAGAAAGAGAGAAAGTGTCATGATCGTGGGTTGGGTAAATTAAACCGGTGGATTGGATCGTCCCGTTCACCCCTCAATACGGGGAGGATTGTCTGGGAAGGACTGCAGTGATCAGCCAACGGGGCACAAACCATTTTCCTTGGGGGTGATAGGAACAGGTACGACGGTTGTACCGACTGACCGGGGGTGTGAGTGCACAATCAGAAATAGGATAGAAGAACCGGTGTCATTGTATGCCGACAATTGACTTGTGCAGCCGAGAGAGGACGGACTGATGGACGCTTGGATGGTGATGGGCTTGTCTGTTTGCGACCAGACAGACAAAACAGACAAAACAGACAAATCGAGCCCAGCCCGCGTCAGCCCCCGATAAGTTGCACCTGGAGTAAGTTAAGAATGAATAAATTACCTCATCATACCCTGGCAATACCACCATGAAACCGGGTTATTCCGGGCGGTGTAGACGGAGAAATAGGTAGTCTGGGTAGTCTGACCATACCGAAACGGTACCTGGTGCTGTGGTCCACTGGACCTCCTCCGGAAAGCCCCTCCACACTCCTGTGTGGGAAACCCCCCCCACCTCATGTTTCCATCCTCGAAAGCAGCCAAACTGCTTCCCAGTCCAAGGATGAGTCCACTCACTCCTCCTCCTTAAATATCCCGTCTTACTCGCTCTCGCCTCTCTCCCGGTCTGTCCTGCTCCTGTTCCCTTTTCTCTTCTCTTCCCCAATCCTCTTCCCTCCCCTCCCTCACTCCAGTTCTCTCTTTCCCCCGCCCTCTCCATCCATCTCAATTGTCCTCCATCATCATGTCTGCTGGTTCAGTTCTCGTCACTGGGTAAGTTCTACTACCATGGCGCCCCCATGTCTTACAGCTGGAACTGACCCCGCAATCCCCCAACTGCGCAGTGGCACGGGCTACATTGGCTCCTTCACCACCCTTGCCTTGTTGCAGGCTGGCTACAAGGTCGTTGTCGCTGACAACCTCTACAACTCCTCCGCCGAGGCTCTCAACCGCATTGAGTTGATCTGCGGCAAGAAGCCCGAGTTCGCCCAGCTCGATGTCACCGACGAGGCTGCTTTCGACAAGGTCTTCCAGGCCCACCCCGACATTGACAGCGTCATCCACTTCGCTGCTCTCAAGGTGCGTCTGACCCGCCTGCTGTGCCATTGCACCCGCAAGGACTGACCATTCCCTTGTGATCAGGCTGTCGGAGAGTCCGGTGAGAAGCCGCTGGACTACTGGCACGTCAACGTCTACGGCACCATCTGCCTTCTCCGCTCCATGGTCCGCAACAACGTCACCAACATCGTCTTCTCCAGCTCCGCCACCGTCTACGGCGATGCCACTCGCTTCCCCAACATGATCCCCATCCCCGAGGACTGCCCTCTGGGTCCCACCAACCCCTACGGCAACACCAAGTTCGCCGTCGAGACCGCCATCACCGACCTGATCAACGCCCAGCGCAACAACGCCACCAAGGCCGGCAAGGAGGCCGAGGCTAAGAAGTGGAACGGTGCCCTCCTCCGGTACTTCAACCCCGCCGGTGCTCACCCCAGTGGCATCATGGGTGAGGACCCCCAGGGTGTCCCCTACAACCTGCTTCCTCTCCTTGCCCAGGTGGCCACTGGCAAGCGCGAGAAGCTGCTCGTCTTCGGCGACGGTACGCTCCAATCCCCCTTGACTCTGCAAGCACAAGACGCCCAGCGACAAAACTAACCCCATGCTAGACTACGCCTCCCACGATGGAACCGCCATCCGTGACTACATCCACATCCTCGACCTGGCCGACGGCCACTTGAAGGCCCTCAACTACCTCCGCGCCAACAACCCCGGTGTCCGGGCCTGGAACTTGGGTACCGGCAAGGGCAGCACGGTCTACGAGATGATCCGTGCCTTCTCCGCCGCCGTCGGCCGCGACCTCCCCTACGAGGTCGCTCCTCGCCGGGCCGGTGACGTCCTGAACCTCACCTCCAACCCCAGCCGGGCCATCTCGGAGCTGGGCTGGAAGGCCGAGCACACCCTCGAGCAGGCCTGCGAGGATCTCTGGCTCTGGACCCGCAACAACCCCGAGGGTTACCGGCAACAGCCCCCCGCCGAGCTCCTCGAGAAGCTCAAGAACTAAATCTGATCGTAAATGATACCTACCTTACCTTACCTACTGTTGATTTAATTAGCATGTCTTTGGCGACGGCGGAAGAACCAAAATCGCATCAATAGATTTGATCTGAATGAGACGAATTTCCTTTCTTGAATATGTGCCTGGTGTAATTCCACGTGCTGTGTTTCTGTGCTTTTGTTTCTTGAGTGGATAGATGAGGTGTCTCGAAATAGTAATTGGATTTACCGGAACTCCAGAACCATGCATGTATGCACTCTCCACCGCCCCGAAATATCGCACCATATATACAGCCAATCTATTTACCACTGCCGTCGCCACTGCCATTGCCCTTCCGACTCCTCCTCGACCCAGGGGTCTGTGCCTTGGGCGCGGCCTTCTGCTCGGCGGCCGCCTCCTTCTGTTCGGCCTCCTTCTTGGCCACCGCCCGCTGCACGGCGCTCTCCTTCTCCTTGACCTCGATCATCTTCTCACTGAACTCCCACAGCAACTTGCCCGCGGCCTCGTCCCGGATCTCCCTCCGCGCCACATCCACCTCGCGACACTCCTTGATCATCCACCCGCCCTCATCGCGGCCGTACCGCGCCTCCATCGCCGCGTACAGGAAACTCTGCGCCCCCTGCTGCGGCGACTTGAGCACCAGCCACCACACCGGCCAGGTGATCAGGTACACCAGCAGGCCCCACAGCGACCCGCCCGTCATCCAGCGCCGCATGCCGGGCGTGCGCGTGAACCCGGGATCCACCATGATGACGCGCGTGGCCGGGGGCTGGCCGTCCGGCCGCTTGAAGGCATTGAGATGTCTCTGGAAGGAATGCGCAAACACCATGAGGGCGAGTTTGCTCAGCCCAAACAGACTTTCCGGCCGCTGCGTCTTCTTGTGGGGGTTCGTCTTCTGGGCGGATGATTTCTTCGTCTTCCCACCGCCGTTCTTCCCAGCCTTCTGCTGCCCCGCCGCCGCCGTCCTCTGCTGCTGTTGTTGTTGCAGCAACAATTGCTGGTTAGTCACATCCTCGACCTTCCGCAAATCAAACCCGCCCGCCCGGATATAACTCGACGAACACCCCGCGAAGATGACGCGCACGTCGCGGTGCGCCGGCTGCGCGCGCAGCGCGGGGCTGAGGATGCTCAGCAGGTGGAAATTAGCCAGGTAGTTGACCTGCCACTCCTCGTCGAGGCCGTCGCCGGTCAGGTGTTTTTGGGGTGTTGGCGGCGTCGTGCTGGCGCACAGGATGATCATGTCCAGCCGGCGCGGCGTGACGTTGTCGATCCATTTCGTGGCGAAGGTGCGGATGGAGTGCAGCGACGCCAGGTCTACTTGCTCCGCGTAGATGAGTTGGTTGTTGGTCGTGCGCCGCAGGTCTTCGATGTATTCCACTAGAAAAACGTCGGAGGGGGCGTGCTGCGTTAGCAGGATGATTTGCGCCCCGCGGGTGGCCAGGGCTTTCGTGATTTGGGCGCCGATGCCGGATGTTCCGCCCTTTTTTTTTTGTATGTCAGTTTGGGGTTTGGGGTTTGGGGGGTGTGGGGGGTAATGTTGGGAGACGGGGGTAGAGAGAGCCGTACTGTGATCATTACGACCTTGGAGTGCATCACTCGCTCCGAGGCATTGCGGGCTCCGCCGAAGTAGAATTTCAGGACGGCAATAACAAGAACCCAGGGGGTGAGCTTGAGGATCGTCCAGGCGAAGGGGATCGAGGATACACCCTCGGTGACACCCTGGACGATCAGGGGGATGGGCATTGTGGTGGTGAGAGAACGACAAGGAAAGACGCAAAGCTTTGAATGAGAGGCAAGGGTTGAGTTGAAAGGTAGGTCTGGAAAAGAGGGAGTGGGAGGATGTTGACTTGACTTGGGGGAAAGTTGTAGACGACAAGACAAGATGAGATGGCCAGAAAGTCCAACAAATCTGGCCCGTCCGGCGGCCGCGCGGAGGAAGTTGCTTTGCCTGCTTTAGCCGCCGATCTCCCGCCACTGCGTCACCTTGCCTTCTTCTTCTTCTTTGACCTTTTTTTATTTTCTCAACCACAACACCACCGATATATGAGTACAATGCCAGACGACCCCGCAGAAGAAGAAGATTACTTCCTCCCCCTGGAAGACCAGCGCGTCTTTGGCGCCGGAATTCGCCGCAAGCGCGTCCCCTTCGTGCGCTCCTCCGACCCCGACCTCCACACCACCGACTCCGCCCTCCGCCGCAATGCCGCACCCAGCACTGAAACAACGACCGGCGCCACCATCGCGAACAGATACCTCTCCATCGTCCTCTCCAAATCCGCTACGCCTACACCTGCCCCGGAGGAGCCCGCATCAGATTCTACGGCTACACTCCCCACCACGAATCCTCCCAGCGCACGGGCAGCGAGTCCACAATCCCACCCCGCACCACCATCAACACCAACTCTCCCTCCTCCTTCGCCCCGACAAGACCAACAAGACAACAAAGCCAACCCTACGTCTCAAATCTGCGAAATCTGCAATCTCCCCCTCACAGCATCATCCGAACCAGCATCCGAAACCCCGACCCCAATTGGCCCCAACGCACGCCCCCACGAAGCCTCCCTCGCACACCAACTCTGCCTCACGCATTCACACCCACCCTCACACCTGGACCGCACGCGCCCCGGCCTGCGCTACCTGGCCGCCTACGGCTGGGACCCCGACAGCAGACTGGGGCTGGGGGCTCCCGGGCGGGAGGGGATCCGGGCGCCGGTGAAGGGGAAGGTCAAGGTCGATACGGTGGGGTTGGGGGTTGCGGGCCATAATTCGGATGATGAGGAAGCCCATCAGAAACGGAAGCGTGTGGTCGGTCAGGAACAAGCCGGGGGTAGGGGCAGTGGTTCTGCCAAAATACAGAAGTTGAATGCGAAGGAGGTGCGGAGGGGGCAGGTGGATGCGCGGAAGCGCGGGGAGAGGTTGCGCGAGTTGTTCTATCAGGATGAGAGGATTTTGCGGTATCTTGGGGAGGGGTGACATATTCGGTGGGGAGAAAAAAAGAGGGGGGGGCAACTTTCTGGTTGGATTGAGAGGGGAAACGGGTGGTGATTTTTGGACTGTTTGGATTGTGATAGTGTTTCGTACGTTTAGATACCCTCTATTGTTTATCGATTGTCATTGTCCAGTAATTATATTCCATTGGCTGGGATGTGTACACTTTGCTTTGCTGATCTTGCTAAGTTAATTAAGTCCAGCCATATAAATGGTCGGAAATAGCAACGGATCGCTCGAAAACTAACAGACAAATGAGCTTGGTATCACAGCTGCGCTAGATGAGATCAGGGATGAGCCAAGAGAGCCACCGAGAGCGGTTACGGGGCAACAGTGGGAAAGCCTATCGGAAAAAGTGGTGGCGTTTCTTCTCCTTCTTCTCCTTCTCCTTGTGCTCTTTACCTGGCTTGGAGCTGGTAGGAGCCGGCGCCGGACTCGGCCCGCCGCTGGGGGCTTTGTGTCCAAGTGACATCGAGGCCATTGCTGCCGAGGGCGGGGCAGCGGCGACGGGTTTCTTCGCCTGGGGCTGAGGTGGTGGAGGTGCTTCTTTCTCGAAGAGATGAGCCGGAGCCGTGGGTTTCGGCCGCTCGGCCGGAATGTCCAGCCGTCGTTTGTCGACGCTGAGATCGCCGATCTGTCGCAGGAATAGCCCCGGCGAGAGCATATGGGACGTGGCCAGGTAGACATCCTTGGCATGTGCTTGCGAGATCTCGTAGCATGTACGGGCTTCGCCGTAGGTCGCGCCACCCGCCATGAAGACGATAATGCGCTGGCGAGGCTGCTCCCCGGTGGTGCGCGTTCGCGCCCACGTGGGTTTCGCACTCCGGAGGGATGCTTGCGACAAGGCGTCGTGTGGGTTCGAGCCCTCGCCTTCGGTGTGTGGACGCGTGGGTGGGAAGACAGTCGTGTCAAGGGTGCCCCGCACCAGGTCCTCCAATATCAACTTGAGGTTCAGATCGTACCGAGTCAAACTTTCTTCTTCCATATCGACCGCTGCTGGAGGCTTTCGGATGAACAGCGGCTGTACTGGAGGCTTGTCATCCTTCAGGGGCTTCTCTACACGCACGCCAAGTAGATCTAGATTGGATATGATTTCCCCGTCCTGCGGTGGAAGTTGCGCGTGTGCCATGAGCTTGCGGATGTCTCCGGCTAGCAGTCCGCCTCGGTAGATTATATAAAGTAGTAAAAGTCTCAGTCGTTCGGGCTGTCGGGTTGCTTCATCATCGAGGAGTTGAACAATCTGGGAGCCCAGATGCTTGGCCTTCTTGTAGTTCTCATCCATGCCGGTCGCCAGGCTTTGCTCGACAGAGCTGACTTCAAGAAGCTTGTGCTCCTGAAAGTATTTCATACATTCTTGTGCCATGTTCAGATGAAGGGTGTATGCATCGCGGCCCTGCTGGAACTCAGTCAGGCCTGCAAGCATATCCTTGATTGTGTTAACGTTGGCTTTGTTGTTGCTGGAACTCATGTCAGTCTAGAACATAGGATCGCAGGGGAGGAGATTATGGGGAAAAGCCTACTCTTCTGCGAATTGAGGGTTGGCTGCTCGGAATTTGGCAAAGTCTTCGCCCAGCTTCCCCAGTACGTCCTTCATGTGCATGTGCCGGTACTCAACCCATACGTTGTCCTGCTCATTAATCTCCATGTCTTTGATTTCTTGATTGGCGCCACCCTCGTTGATGACAGTCTTGTATGTAACCTTGTCCCCATCGTTGATGGGAAGCAGATCATGCACCATGGACTGGTATGTGAATTCATGGAGCAGAGGCGCTATGACGTCCATCGAGCGGTCTACAACAAGGAGAATGCCGCGAGGTCGAGACGATGGGGGGGGAAAGTCCCGCTGAAATTGCGCGAATTGATCCAACTCGTTTTGAATGAAGCGGGCCAGGTGTGAGCACAATACGCCGGCCTCGTGGGTTGGGGTCCTGGGCCGATAGTACCGGATGATCGGGTACTCTCCTAAACTTGCACAGAGAGACACAATCTCACGCCGTTGTCAGCATGCGAAACTGGTCCGTGAAGCTAAAGCTTATGCCATACCTTCTGAGCCAGTCCTTCCAAGTGCGCACGAATCAGATGGTTGCAACCAGGGTGGAAAAGGACTGGAAAGCTCCATGGATCCCGGAATGTCACGACGCGCGACTCGCGAGGGAAATAATCGGCATTCATGATCTGAACATTGGCAATATTATCATGCGCCATCTGCGACCGGTCTAGTCTAGCTCGTTGCTGCGGATCGAGAACTGCCCCGTACGTCAGCACCAACCATAGCACCCCAGGAATGCTGCGACCAACAGGACGTCCAAACCAGCCATGCTTTCTTGTACCGCTTCCGCTCAAAATCGGCCATCAAACAGTCGACAATATGCGGGAGGGGAGAAAGGATGTACAGCGCATCCATAGAGGCATTTGTTGGGCGTCGGTGCTCGATCTGCTCAACATCTTAGGAACGGGCCAGTTAGCGCCTACCGACATGTATATATTCGGCATGAAGTCCCGCTTACTGGTCACGTTGAGGTTGAGGATATCATCTTCGCTGACGGCATTGTCGATTAATTTGCGACTGGTCTCGTCCACGACTAGGACCTTCCACTACAAGCGCCCGACGTCAGCTGTATGTGGGTTGGGAGAGTGATGAGGGGGGCGGAGTTATCAGGAGGGGCAATGAGCGAGAGACCGTACCTCGTTCCCCGCCGCGTAACGGATGGTGTTCAGGATGACTGGCAGAAGAAAGGGATAAATCAGTACGGGAAATATTGCGCGCACGGGGGATTGACCAAAGGACTTACTGTCGCGCTGGATGTTGAGGATCGAGGCGCTCATTTTGGCTGACGGGCAGCCCTCCGCTGGGGCATAGACTGGTAACTTGTAACTCACAACACTGAGAAGAGGGGTGAGGATTGAGGGGTGCTAAGGCAGTTTAAGGCGGCAGACCAGAGGAGGCAGCAGCCGAGAAAGGTAACAGACAAGCAAGCGATAGGGGCGCTGCACGAAGATCAATCGAATCAGGGGGTGCTGATGATAATAACTGAGGTATCTCTCTGAAACGTAGCAGATGGTCTTGGTTACCACTATTAGTTGGTGTGAGACCCCTCAAGCTCCGGAGTCCCGTCCGTCCCCACCTTTTCCGCCGCTGCGCTGCCTTACCTTCATCCGCCGCAGGGGATAAACCTTGGGAAGGCGGTGAGGGCGGTGTAGCCACTTGCTTCCGCCTCGGAAGTCTTCCTCTATCGCCGCAGCTTGATGAAAGGCAGAAAAAAAAAAGATAATCGATGGCGAATTCATGACGGAGGGGATTTCTTAGAGGGAGCTCGCCGTGTGTTCTTCTATCCCCTCGCTAATAATCTTCACATTTAGCCTCTTCTCCCGCCCTTTCTGATAACTGTGATAATCGCGTCTCGTCTCTTCGCCTTCACGCCTTGGTTGGACGATCCCGTTCATCTCCCAGAATTGCCAGTCGATTACGGAACGAAAGAACATACCACTTCAACGATCGCGTACGTCTCAATATCTCATTTCCGCGCTAGGCATGCGCCTATGGAGTAGCAAAGGCAGTCAATGCCTTTTGTGTACACTGCACCCGAAAGTCCGTCCTGCAAATCGGGCCTTCGCAACTTCGCCGGTGCTGCAGAGAAAAGCGGTATGGCCAAGCACTTGTTTTTGAGTTCTTCTGATACAATGCTAATTCTCCTTCTTCCACTACCACTAGGGACAAAAAGATAGGGGCAATCGGGCTAAGAAAGAGCAAGAAAAGAATGCATCACGTCCCAAGTTTCCTCCTAGAGAACGCACAACATTGACCGGACCTGATTTTGTGGCGGTCGTCAAACAAAGTCTTGAAACCTATCACAGCAGGCTCACGAGAGCGGAAGATTGGACGTCATTGAAGAGGTGGGATGCCTTCCAACGGCAGGTACTGAATGCATGCAAATTAGACGATCGCAAAACTACGGCGGCCGCAGGTGCCTTGCGCCGCCTTAAGAATGCCTTGCATCAGGCCCACAGCAACTATGGACTTAAGGGACTGAGAGACGAGCTAGAATTCCAGATGTACTCGGAAGATATCACGGCGGAATATGGGACACCGAACCAGGTCCGGCAGAGGATAATCGCGGATATGCGACGTCCGACGGAGCTGTACCCGCAAGCGCGCGCCATCCAGCGCACAATACACTTACACGTCGGCCCCACCAACTCGGGGAAAACGTACCATGCACTGAAACGTCTGCAAGCATCCAAGACTGGCTTTTACGCTGGGCCTTTGCGACTTCTGGCCCAGGAAGTGTTCCAGCGCTTTACGACGGCCGGAATGCCCTGCAGCCTGATCACTGGTGATGATGTTAAGATCCACGAAGGGGAAGGTGATGAGCCGGCGGGGATTGTCAGCAATACGGTGGAGATGGTTAGTATAGGACAGTCATATGAAGTCGGTGTCATCGATGAGATCCAAATGATCAGTGATACTCGGCGTGGGTGGGCTTGGACCCGTGCTTTTCTGGGTGCTCGCGTCCAAGAACTTCATCTTTGTGGTGAAACCCGAGTGGTTCCTTTGATTCGAGAGCTGACTGCTCTGACTGGTGACAAACTCGAGATTCACCGCTACCAGCGACTGAACGAATTGAAAGTCGCTAAAAAGAGTCTTGGGGGCAATCTAAAGAATCTTCAGAAAGGGGACTGTGTTGTCTCCTTCTCGCGCGTTGGGATTCACGCTTTGAAAGCGGAGATTGAAAAAGCCACGGGCAAACGCGCAGCTATCGTCTATGGGAGCTTGCCGGCCGAAATCAGAACCCAGCAGGCTGCACTCTTCAACGATCCGAACAATGACTACGACTTTCTAGTTGCCAGCGACGCTATTGGCATGGGTCTCAATCTGTAAGTGCTCTTGATATTTGCCGACTTCCTCAGATACTAATATCGCGTCTTTCAGGAGCTGCAAGCGTATCGTTTTTGAAACCGTGGTCAAGATGCTCCCGGGAGGTCTT